TTGATATTTCTCTGTCCGGCCGATGTGACACCCCCAGCAAGTTCACGTAAGAAGAAAGGAGACTTGCTATCTCCAGCTGTACCATAAAATGTGTTCATGTATACCTTAAGAGCATTTTGTTTCACATCAAAGCAAGAATAATCAAAACAAACTGAATCGTATTCTGTCATGAATTCATACTTTTCTTTATTAATAAAATAGTATAGGTTTTTGTTAAGGTAGGCACATTTTTTCTCTGTTGCTTTTGCTAAAACATACTCAATAGCTTCTGATAGTGACAAACCTTTACCCATTAAACCTATCACCAGTTCCATGTCTTCCTTTCTTTCTTCAAAGGGGCAAGGCGTTTCTTTATTTCATTCCATTTGCTAGATAAATATTCCAATATTTTGGCATAGAGACCTTTTTCTTCAGGAATATTATTATGTTCTATAGATCATGCAAGAATATCATTACCATTGAATTTGAAATTAATGTTATGAAGGCTTTTGCCACTATCTCCCAAAGACTCAGCATGTTTTCGAGATAAAATAATTTTATCAGGTGAGAGGTTGTAAGTCATAATAAGACTCAGATATAATGATGCAAAGTCTAAGCCGGTTACAGGATGTTTATTTTTAAGCCCCTTTATTAGTGGGAAGGCGTAGGCACCCAGGAATGACTCTGTCTCTATTCGCTCTGAAATTGTACTAGTTAAAATTCCTTCCCACTATGCACTAGCACTTAAAAGATTGCTTACTTTCATTCCTATTGCAAAATAATGCGTATCGAATAATGATATAAATGCTATACTCGCAACCTCTCTGTACCCATTAATTACATTGTGCTTAATCATTAACCGCTGGCAACTAAGAGCATCAATGATACAATATTTGGCTACTTCACGCATCTGCTCAGTCATTGTGGCATTAGTTTCTTTCATAATATTTGTTCATGCGATGAATAGGTAAATCTACTTTATTGTCAAGATTACACTCCTTTAAGTAATATACGAGACTACTTTTTTCGGCTTTAGGGTAGAATTTCTTAAAACAGAGTTGGACATTAATAGCCACACATCTGGGAGTTTTAAGATGCCTCGAATAGAAGTTCCCATTATTTACTTTTATCATATTACATTGATATTGCCATTTTGTAATTTTTTCCAGACTCATAGGTTTGATAGACATATGGTTGAACATCAATTCAAGAACTCCTAACTTCTTGGCCTTCTCCATAATAAATGGCCAGTCATATTGAGAGTCATTAAACCCTATTTGTATATCCGGGATAAAAGTTTCCTACACAAGGCAAAGGCTTTTAGCAAATTAGTTTGGTTTTCACATACAACTGTGATCCAGTTTGGGTCTGGCACAGTTTCGACATCGACAAGGCAGAATTGTTTTAATGGATTAGGGTCATCTTACCAATGAACTGTCATGCCAATCATGAACACGTTGTCTTCTTCGTATTTTACATTAGACACTCCACCTATTCTTCGTGAACTGTATGTCTCTATGTTCTATGTAAGGACTAGAGTGCGATCCCGTGAAAGTGCTGAGGAGAATAATCGATTATTATAATCGTCCTCACTTGTTGGATTGTAATTATTCACAGAAACTCAGAAGAGATAAGTACCTCCTTGAATATATTCGTGGAAATAATTACTTAACGTTGCCCAACTTGAAAGAGGTAATCTTTTTTCACAGGCTACTTTGCGGTAATAATATATTGGGGTTAGATCATCAGAAGCTGTACAGATATCGACTTCACGAACTGCCTTTAACGCATTATACCAGTCAAATTGATTCCAAGTAATAACACGTATATATGATTTTTTCTCTATATGATACCCTCGAAGTGGGAAAGCACTAATATTCTCGATCCCAAATTTTGATGTACCTTTACTAATCTGGTCTTAAACGTAGATAATGGTATATCTTCAGGAACTTTGACATCAAAGAAAGGTCGGATGTCTGTAATATTCACGACTGCTTTTTGCCTATTAATCAAACAACTACTAATGCGCAAAATATAAGTAGAGACCCTATTTATATATTTGGTATCATCACTAACTTCAGTAGGCATGAAATGTATAGGTTGCTTGTCAGATAGGCTTTGTTGAAGTATAGCAGTCATCCCGTTTTCATATTCTGCTACGATCTCATTACGTGATGGAATACAGGCTAAAGACTCGGCGCCGTCGTAGCGGGCGAGCGTTGGGTCAGTTTCATAATTTTGGTTAGAAGTAGTTGAGGTATACATGGTGTTAGATCGAAAAGTTATAATAACTATAAAATCAAAAATGTTTAAAATATTTTTTGGATCCATCGAAAAGAGGCGATAGTAAACACACTAAGCAAATTATAAAAGAAAGGCAAAATAGTATACTATCCAGAGGATAAGTCTTCTCCGTAATTATTATATAAAAATTGGAAGAAGACTTATATGTATTCGGGTATGTATTCGGGTATATACCCAGCCGATGTCCCTATTTTTTGATGAATACAAAAGAGATGTATAGCGATCTTAGTTAACAAATCGTGAAAGGGAGACAAGTAGATATGTATCTGGGCATAGGTAGCTTTATTGATGCAAATCTAGCTATAGAATTATTTCCTACACTTTCCTAGATATGTACTTGAGTATGATATGGAGGTAACTTCAGAATCATTATAGGAAGAAGCCCCCATCTCAAAGTATATATCTGGCGTCATGAAGTATACTGCAGGGAGAAGCCTATCCTATTGAATGGTATATATCAGATATGTATTTGGGTAAGGTATGAAGTCTTCTGCGTAATTATATTATATAAAAATAGCAGAAGACTTATATGTGTTCGGGTATACATCCAGAAGATAAGTCTTCTGCAGAATTATATTATATAAAAATGGCAGAAGACTTATATGTATCGAGGGTAGGTAACTTCAGTATCTATATATAAAATAATAGAACTTGCCTACCCTAACACTAGAATGAAATCGGGTATAT